CGGTCAAACCTGGCTTGGTTGCAGCGCTGACTTGCAAGCACTGTTGTTTTGCACGGTGATGGAATTTGGTATTTTTTTGGGATGGCAACTTCTATGCCTAGCCTTGGGATCAAACAGCAGGTCCAGAGACCTAACACATTGGGTAGTTGTCATGCCCTATTGTCCCTTTTCCAACCTTCAGCATGTTCAAGCACCTAAGGCGCATTAGCTCATCAGATCCATTCAAATCTATACAGCATGCCAAGTGTGCAATTTTTTGGGGGGTGGTATTTGAAGTATCTATCCCGGTCAGGTGCTAATTGCGTTGGTCCAGAGCTTGGTGGGGTGAAAGCAATACAATCAACTCTGATTTCAAACCGCGATCAATACGGATACTAGGGGGTCAGCTAAAAGATGTCACCTAGGTCTTGTTGGCAGGATGGCTGGATATACCTCGGACTTCGTATCAGTTTGTTGAGATCTTTGCTGGCCGAGCTGAAGTCACAAGATGCATGCATTGACCCTAGATTTTCACTAAGTCAAATCCCAGACATCATGTATACAGTGCACCTCATGCCATACTTGATCAATGCATGCACTAGGTCAGACAATGGCTATCAATGTGCTGCTTATGACCGGGAATACGATCGAAAACCCATGGACTTCTTAACTGGACCAGGATTCCTGACGCTTGATTGATGTATTCTGCAAAACCCCAAAAAAGATAGCATGCTGCTTTAGGCAGGATTATTTTAGGGACTTTGGGGGTTGCAAGAGTGATCCTAATCCTCCTTGTATTATAATTGATCAATTTTTGAATATAGGAAACCATATGGCCCATACCCCACACATCCCCGCACCTTTCCAACTCAGGCTGGCGTTGCATTGCGTCATGCAGCTTCCTGTCAATGGTCTGGGACTATTAGCTCCAGACTGCAGTTCGTGGGGGGTGCCGGCCAGAGGAACATCAAAACGATCACCTATCAACGTCTTTGGGAATATATTCCTCCAGTGGGTTCAAGACTCCGGGTGCATGGTGGCACGGAGACATGCATGCACTAGGCATCCAAGCATGGGATGTGGCACAATAATGTCATATACTAGTGATCAGCGGCTTCCCGAGGACTGTATTACTTATATTGGTCATTCTTTCCCGGAATGCACTGTGGGTCTTGGAACAGCCACATGGGTCACTTCTTGAAAAACATCGACGGTATGATTGGCTTTGCAACCACGTGTGCTTTGTGTCTTGCCCAAACTGGCTCATGGGGTATCTGTAGCTTTTCTAGGTCTGTCTACATTGAAACCCATGCGCTGAGGTATGGAGAACTGAGATGTGGATGGCTCTTCATGGAGGACCCACACCAAAGAGGACGTTGTTATACAGCTGCATGCAAGAAATCTCACACCTCGATTTGGGCCCCCTGAAAAAAGAAGTTCGGGAAGCTCTTACTGGGAAGCCTTTAGTTCGATGCTTTGTGGCAGTGGTTTGTGGAATTCCCTCAAAGATAGGGTTTTGGGGTATTACCATGTTTTGCCAAACATTGCATATTTAATGACTTACCCCGAGGAAAATACCGAGATAAAGCTGGACGTGAACGTTTTCATGGAACTCCTGATCTCAAAAAAAGCCAGCACTTTGGCCTAGATAATTTGCTATGGGTTGAATTTAGTGCTCTATATTGTTCCCGTTCCCCACTGCTGGATACTCCGGTCCCAGGTGCTATCCTTATGGCTTCGGGGAGAATCTCCGCAAAGCGTGGGAGCACCACTTGGGCACTTGTCCTGGCAGAAGGGAACTCCGATTCAAACCCCAGCCGTTCAAACCAATGTGTATCAGGGCCCAGTTTGACAACATGCCTATGGAAGATTTGTGGGAAGATGCAAAGCTATGGGAGCCCTTGAGTTATTTGTTCACTTCCAAACGACTGAGGCCGGGGGACATATAATATGTGTTCATTCGAAACACCCCAGTGATTTAGTTTCGGGATCCCCATGGAGCTACCTTTTGCCTTGGTCACGTCCCTGAAGGATTCCACCAGAATGGCAAATGTCAATGCAGATGTTCTGGGATGAGTACAAAGAAAAGGCCCATGTCTTTTATTTTGAATTTCTAGCTGAATCAATGTCAAACATGCATAGCCTGATACATGCCCATTTAATAGCCTTTTTTTGTGGCGGAGGTTCTCAGCCAAGAAAGCTATTGCACGGAGATTGCGGACTTTCTGAAAAAAGCCCAGGGTTCTGAACAATAGATGTGGGAAATACAACCCATGTGTGCCAACAGTGGCCCCAAATTGAAAACGAGTGGTCCCCAAGAGGATGCCATTGAAAACACCATGTCAAACGTACAAAAATTAGATTTTGGGGTCCCACCTGTTGGAAATTCAAAATTTGATGCCAAATTCAGGCCGCAACTTCGGGCGCAAATTGGCGCAATCGGGCGCAAATAAGCGCAATCGGGCGCAAATTTAAAAAACGTCCCTTTTGATACCATAGAAGGGGATGATTCGAGCATTTTTTGAACGTCACCCTATGCTGATGGGCTGATGGGTAGTCATGCATATTCAAACACACATAGACCTTCTAATTAGTGTTTTGGCTTCAGCCTGTTACCCTAAGCATTTGGCCTTTCCATATATGTCCAACCGCCTTTCCTCTAGTGAGACCTTGGTGGAAGGAATCAAAAAGGTTGGCATGGCTCCCGCAGATGTTGGCGCCTCTCGCAAGCGAGAGCTTGAAGAGAAGATTCGAGTTATCTGCCAGCACATGTCATGATTCAAGTCTAAAAGCATGCATGCTTGAACTCTAGAAGGCCGGTTGGTTCTGGTTAGTTGTTAATGGGGCTAAGGCGAGCCAGTCTCGAATTGATGCATTGCGACGACGGCTTTCCAACCAAGCCAACTCCTTGACGCCTGAGCCCGATGTCGCAGGGGCCCCACACATAGCCCAGTCTGCTGGGCACTTTAGTGCTGGGAATCCTGATGGTCATGAGTACCCAAACCCATGTGATTCGGTTCCTGGGATGGAAGTGGCAAGCACGCCAGAGCCAGTGATTCCACCTCCAACCCCGACAACGCCAGCATCCCTAGCAGCCCCAACAGGTGTTGCGCCCACTCATACCTTGCCTGAGCAACCTGGAACCTTGCCTGGGCCACCTGGAACCTTGGCCCCTGAAGCTTCGGGGGCAGAGGTTGACGATGCTGTTGACTCTGTGTCAAATATGGAGCCCCAAGAAGATGCCGGTGTGAAAAATCCATACTGGAAGTTTCCTGACAGAATTGGTTGTTAGTTCCTTCAACCTAGCGTGGATAAGAATGTCGTTGAATCTATTCCCAACTTGCCCCACAATCACCATAGATCGAATATCCAAATCTGAGGTTGCGAAGGTACTTTACCCCCAAAGTCGATGGTTCTCTGAAGTGCTCTCCCGAAGCCTTGAAGATGTGGAAAGACCCCGAGCAGCGTTCTTTGGCTTAAAGTCTTATTTTTTCCGTGGGTATATCCATATAAAATACCCTTATGATTCCACATGATTTGATCCCATATGATTCCATATTATATTCGATCTGTATGATTCCATAGTGATTATATAAGAATATCCTAAAGCACAGACCCACTAATGCCTCAAATAACTGTCACCGTTGGCAGGCCAAGAACTGAAAAAAATGTTCATGGAGCACGGGAGCTTTGAGTCTTTAGAGATCAAGATCAAGAAGAAGCACATCGAGAGCAACCAGCGAGCGAAAGCGGGTGGATGGTATACCAGGGGTCAACTTGAACATCATCACCAATGGACCAAGACACCATCTCAGTTTTGGTTAGATCAAAAAAATATTCCGTGATTTCAAGACAATTTTCAAACGCATGAATTTGGACCGAGGAAGATGATTGACCGTGCTTTCCAATGGGCGGACAAGAATGGGAAGTCTAGAACCAATGCTGTTCACGGCGACCCTGAAGCGTTCTTGGTGATTTCAGACACCTTTTGTATCAGCGCCACCGATGTGGAAGAAAATGAACAAGCAGGTTCAATTGAATGTGAGGATTGGGGGTCTCAAAAAGCATTCATTTTCCCAGAAGTCAACATAACAATACCCCCATGCTAACTGTTTCCCAACTATGGGGGCCTTGCAGCCTTATGTGTGTGCACCAGGATCCAAATGGGACCCTGCTGGACAGCACCCTGACCACCATCGATGCCCCCGACAACGCCTTGCTGACCAACATCCAGGGCTCTCAGTCCTCTGGGCAGGGGGATCAGGGCAACACTGGCATCTCGAGTGCTGCCGGTGTGATGACTTTCAAGATTCTTTGGCTTAAGCAAACATGGTAGTGTTGAATAATTAATCTCGATTTACCATTTTAGATTGGTCCATGCATGTTTGAAAAAGATTTGATCAAATCTTTTCCAAACATGCATGGAACAATCTATAAAGTGATCAGCCTAGGATGACCTTCCCAACGCTTGTGGCCAATGCTTCGCCTTTGACGATTCTCCCCCAATTTGTCGAAGTGTTGGGGAAAAAGTTGGACAAGATCAATGCAGAGCTGGACAGAATTTGAAAACATGTAGCATGTACATGCATGTAAATACAGATGATTAGTATCGATACCCGGGGTTTGCACCAATGCCCGCAGGATCGCTTGCGAACTGTGAATACGAAAGCTGCTCAGGGGCTCCTTTTAATGCAATATAAATTTAAATTGAGTGCACAGTTGGATCGTATATATTATCATAAAACCGGATCCCTTCACCTAGGTTGATTACTGCTATCACCGACCAGCTGAAGAAGATGCAGGACCTTTATGACAAATTGGCACAACAGTTGTCAGAAGCCACGGTGAATCCCGAAGGGATGGACCAGTTCTTTGTCAAAAACAAATCAGAGCACGATAGTGCTGAAAGCCAATTTGTTTGGGAGTGTTTTGGGGGGTCGCTGATTCAGGGGCCTCTTCCGAGGCAATTCCGCACAGACATCCAGCAGAGCTTTGTCGGTTGCACTAAGCTGGATGTTGGCATGAATGGTTTGATGCAGCGTTCAAAGATCCTCAATGGCATTGAGTGGCTCATAATTCCCATCCCGCAAATTTAGCGCAATAGAAGAATATTCTACTTCCCATGTGTCCCGGCCATCCAAGGGGAATGCGGCCGTCCTCTGCGGCTTCCACGGCACCATCAGTTCGCACGCCTCGGGCCAAAGCAGCCGGAAAATCCAAGGCAAAAGCCAAAGCAAAGGGGGCCAAAAAGGAACCCCGAGGAGATGCCTAGGCATCATGATATATATATTATGGAGTATTGTGTGCCAATCTTCACACATGCTCGCTTGGGTTGACTGGATGCATTACTGCCTCCAACATGAAAGGAAACCCTGAAAATTAGTCGTTGCTGCCTACTACACCCGAAAAAATGTTTTTTTTGACAAAGAGGCTTTGCATTCGACATAGATCAATTTCGTTGTTGCAAGTGCGGCAACACAATCCTTGTGGTTTGGGGATGCAGATCCACCATGTTCGATGCAACACATGGGAGAATAAAAAGTGCTATAGCCTCCAACAGCTTGTTGTCTTCGAATCAAGAAAGGTTGAAAACATATAGGGTGATACGAACATTATGCAAACACGGGACATGACGGGCCCCCTTAATAGGTACCAGGTAATATATATTTTCAACCTTTCTTGGGGAGCGATCACTGGTTAAAAAAATACAGCCAGGTCATCGCGATGATGAGCTTTGCTATGGATCCTTGGATGCACTTGGTCTCATGACTTTCCTTGATAATTACTCGACCTCAACCACGGGACCTTTATCAAATATGGAAAGAAACCACTGAAGTTCAAATACCCTGAAATTTACATATTATAAGTTTACCCAGTTGATTTTCTGACTATTGCCAGCCCAGGAAATGATTCTGGAGAACAAGATCTAGCTGAAGATCTATGCGATGATTTGATTGAAAGTTTTGCTACTGGAGTACCTTGGCAAATGCAAAGGGAACACGGCATATACTTGTGATGTTTTACCCACATGATCTATGCATGCCCATACATTATATCATCTCGCGAGGCCAGCGCCAAAGATGTCATGGGACGTGTGGAGAAGACACAAAAACTTCTTCAGAAGCATGGAACCTCTTTTGCAATTCATGTGGATGACAAAATTTTGTCCCAAATTTAGACACTACCATTCGATTAAGATTCATAACTTAGGAGTGTTTGACAAGAAGATCGAGGAGTTAGCAGACCGTGCTCGACACGATGCAAACCGATCGAATCTGAGTCGTAATTTGCATGCATACATCCACAAAAAAGACAAGACTCTCCCTGTGCCCATCACCTCCGTGATGACTCCGGTCAAAACGCGGGTCTCCCGACGATTCGCCACTGCCCGTAGGCCTTGGCCGGTGCTCCACTTGTCGAGCTGGATTAAAACCGGGATGGAGGCTGACCAGTTTGCAGGGTTCTTCCTTCTCAATGGCTTCAAGTTAGACAACTTGGTACAGGCTGAGGACAACCTAGAGCTTTTTTGGGACAGGTACAAATCTGTAGACTCAAACACCCCGCCAAATCCACGGAGAACACTGCCTTTTTATGTGCATGGAGATGAAGGCAGGGGACAAGTCAAACGTCCAGTACTTGTTATCAGCTTTCAGGGTTTGATGAGCTGGGATGGAAATGGAGTCCAGCGGGTGAATTCAGTAAAGAGTCTCAGAAAGCTCAAGCTAGGTACTATTTTGTTACTAATACTTAGTTTGTGGATCTAGGTGACTATATGGCCCATAAATTAATGATCACGTGTTAATTGTGCCCACTTCCTCCAATCTAAAGAACACGTTGACGACCCGGATGCTGTATACACTGCTGCCATCAGAGAATTATGCTGCCAATGGTGCCAGTATGCAATGTTTGATGCAAGCACTTGTGGACGATTGCAACAAACTCTACACTGAAGGGATTGAAGTTACCTTGTTGCATTCTATAGCTACATGAGCTATTGCATGCATGACTAGTTACATGCAAGAGGCACTAATATAAACCCTCGTGCACCAAGGTCGTGTGGAACGGGCAGCCTTTGCGTTTCTATGCCCGCTTTTGCGGGACAAAGGGTGACTGGCCCTTTCTACGTTCTTGCTACCGACTTTCAACTGGCTTTTCCAGCAAAAGGATATGTCATATTTGCCCCAGTCATCACACTCAACTTAATTCATGCCTTATGTTTTTTGTTGGGGCCTCTTAAAGTCTTGTTGTATAATATGCCCAAACACTACTACAGTATTGCCATCCAAGGATTGGACTGACCTCTCACGAAACGGAGCAACACGAAACTGGCCAAAACATGGTGTGTCTCCGTCCCCTTTCCATCGTGGTCGTAAAGCTTCCATTAGGAACATGTTGCCCAGTGGGGGGGTCAAAACAATCCGGATAGATCTCGCCCACACCTACGCAATAGCGGGTTGGGGCAAGGAGCAGGTTGCATCTCTCCTTGTCCTTGTCGCCGTTCGGTGCAGCCTTTTTGGGAACGGAGGGTACGAAGACCAATTGAATTGGGCATATGACTCCTTTTCGGAATGGTGCCGGCTTCATTCGAAAACAAGTGCCATTCATGAATTTTCCAAGAAAGAGCTGAAGATTTCCTCGTTACTTGAACAAACAACTTTTTTTACAGGGTTGCTTTTCTTGATTTCGAGATCTAATTATATCGGATCTCTTTATCTTGCATCCCCAACTCCCAACTCAGGCTTCAGAAATATCCCAGGGGACTTGGCAAAGGATCAGATTGTGCACTGGTGGCTGGCTGGTTGGAAACCATTCTGACCCCACTAGACCCTGCAACTGTACCTGCTTCTTGCTCGCATTTTTGGGTATACCGACCCCAAAAAGATCGAACATTTGATGTGACCTGTTTTAGGCATCCATTTTGGGGGCTCATTAAGACAGGAAGAAATGCCATGGGGAGCACCCTACTTAGTTAGTGAGTAAATACTTATTAGCTACGTATATTACCCCAGCCATGTATGCATATCCCCAAGTATAGAATAACACTAGGTTATAATTCATATATAAATCACCTATGTAACAACATTCATAAACCACTTATACAATGTGGTGCCCCATAGTTAGCTAAGTTGGTTTATAACTTCAATAACGATGGTTATGGATGTTATGGTAGATATAATGGGGTTTATAAACCAGCTTATAACTGGGGAGGCACAACCTTGATAGTTGGGCGCACATCCAACTAGCATAAGTGCACATTCATAGCGCGCATCTAAGGCAAAATGTCGTGACATGGTCGTCGTGGCAAAGTGGGGGATCAGTGCAACGGGTCAGTTTTTTAGAACCCTGTACCATGGAGATTTATGGCTTTCGCGTAGCGAAGCGCAGACTGCTGTCTCTTCTGGGTTCGACATGCTTGAATCTTGCATCAATCCTATGTGTAGGTGTTGCAAAAGTGTGCACATGTTGGTGCGTGCATGCGCATGTGAGTGCGTGCATACAGTTGAAAGTCATGGTGCCGCCCACTTTCTTTGTCCTAGGAATCCTTTGGGGCCTTAGCAAGGCTTGCAAAAATCCAAGATTGGCGACTTTTCTACATGCGCCCGAAACTACACATGCATATGCATGTGCAGCTGCTTGGCTTTGTGTGCGCTGTTTGTTTCTACCCTGTGCTCTTGATTGCTTTTGGCAATCTTTCAGGCTGGAAATGGAATACCAACTGGAAGACGGCGCTGAGTGGATCTTGAACCCGGCACGTTCAGAACTTGGGTATATGATGGTAAATGTGATGTGTGCATGTCCGCGTACATGAGCATGCATACCGTCTCGAGAGTGTGCACGTGTGTGAGCAGTGTTTTTTTGCTGCGAGTGTGCACGCATCCGCCTAGGTGAAATGACATGGAGCGATGAGGACTACATTGGAAAGGTGTCACGCGCAACGCGACGTTTTGTACATCAACAAAACATGGTGCATAGTACCATGACTAAGATCCTCATCCAGTACAGAAAAGAATGGAATGCTGCCTGCTCCTACCAGCCGGAGCGGGACTGAGGATCCCAGCAACTCTCGAGATCTCCGCGTTGATGTGGAAGGGAAAGTAGTGCATGCAAGAGTGTGTGCAGGGTTGGGATAGGGGTAGAGAAACCAAAGCGAGCAGAAATTTTATGTTCGAGCATCTCAAAATTGATTCGTTATGGAAATTTCCTAAACGAGCAGAAATCGATTCGAGCAGAAATAAATGTATCAATGGAAGATCTAGGTATATATTTATTTATTAACCCATCAAACCATCTGGCTGTTTGAAGGTGTACCCCCTCACAAGCTATGAAACATCCATCCCAACAAAGGCAATACGGGCACCTATCGGCAGCCACTGCAACCATGGCCATTCCATGCGAATTTGCAAATCCGCAGAGATATAAAACATTGAGAGAATACCAGACTCATCCTTAACTGTCACCCAATTATTGTTACCCAATTGCTGCTAATTTACCGTTTACATTCCGATTTGTTGGCTCGTATTTGTATCCGAAATGGCTGGAGATCATACATCAATATATGTTATATATCTATACAATATGTCAACCCCCTCATGATCATCAGCCACCAGGGGTTACGTTCCCCTTGAACATGTGATTTGATCATTTGATCAATCAATTTCAGGTTTGATTTAAACACATATCAACTTTCTTGGAACATATATACATATATATATATAATATATATATGATTATATGTATATATATATAGATATAAGTGTATTCGTTTTTTGGTTGGTAAATCAGGTTTGAAGGCCAGCTGAAACGGGTGAAACCTGCCCCAAATTTCTTGGAACCACTCTGGCCAGGAGCTGCAGCGCTTGCGCATGTGCCTTGGCGATGGAAGATGCTGTGGATATGGCGATCAAATTCTGGAATCACTGATTTGAATTGTTTTATTTTAATATAATATATATATATATGTAGATATACAATAGGATGTATGATATACATATGTATATATATATATAGATATAGATATAGATATCAATACATGCAGACATATATATATATATACATATTTATATATAAATGTACCACTTGTTAATATCGCAATGGATTTGGAGACGGGTTTGGAACCACTGTTTTTTTTTCCATAGTTTTTGTTTATGTTACATTGACAGGAGCTGTGTTAGTTTGTTTCCGGTGATTGCTTTGACGAAATGCCCGGGAATTGCCAGAATTTTGGTCTTTGATCTTTTGAATTACCCTTTGGTTATGACTAACATAGCCATGGTATAGATGGCCCAATAGAAATAGATGGTTTAATGGTTTACCTATTTTTGAAATGGTGATTTTCCATGGCTATGTTAGTCACAACCAGTGGGTAGTATCATCCAATCCAATGTAGTTAAACTACCTTAATTCTGTTTGAGACTTTGGAATGGAGTTTGGAGTGTCCCACTTTTTTTAAGGTACCCACAACATCTGCAAGTGGTGGTTATTTATCAGGATATCAGAGCTGTCATATATTGAGAGGAAATTACACACTCATAAGTCATAAGTCAAATCTCAACACCCCCCAAAAGCATGGCCCTGATGATATACACAAATTGCATGTGCGGGGTATCTAAGATTGGCCCTCACGAAAAAATGGGGCCTTGTCATCAGAAACTGGCAACATCCCATGGTACTCCAATGGTTTTTGTCATCCTTTTCCTTCATGACAATGGCCATCACTGGTCGCTGTCAGACAGCTTCGCGAACAGCAACTGAAGAATGAGGCAGCGGCTTGAGGGCTTTTTGGTCCATTTGATAGCAATGGCAAAGCCGTTAATTCGTGTGGAAGGTATACAAGATGCCCAGTTTATTAGCCAATTTGGTTTACAGTATAACTAAAATGATTCTAATATGCGGTGGCTATATCTATAGTCTATAGTTAATGGGTTTATAACTTATAGCCATTATCTGTTAATAGGTTATGCAATCCTTAGCCAGTTTGATGAAGATGTCCTGAAGAAGGATTTTTTTTTGCAGGGTACAGTATTGTTTCATTAGATTGGACAACATACGGGAAGGCACTAGCAACAAAAAGGATATGAAACACTCTTAGCCATCAGACCTGGGGTAACAGATACAACGAAACAGAGCATGTAACTTGACATAATAAGATAACCAAGCTACACAAGTGTGGAAATACCGTAAATACAATGATATACAATGTGATGGATATGATAAGACAATTTCATATGAGCGTTAAAGATAGAGGAAGTAGCACGAGGACGGTGCCCAAAGTTTGGTCTCATATTGAAGGGTATAGTTGCAGAAGATCAGATTGCTGGCCGATCCAGGACACTTCTGGTGACATCCTTCCCGGTGATGTTGTGTTAAGCTTTTCCCTGCCATGTTGCAATATTTTCTGAACAAATATCAGGTTTTTCGGTTTGGAACCGCAAAATGAATAATCCCATCCAATACTAAACACCCCCTAAATGGTCCCAATTATGTGGAAATCCCCTACTAAACCAGGGTTTCTGGGGGGGTGTTTAATATTATGGGGAAGGGATGTTATATCTACCACATTCTACCCCAAACAATGCTAATCGTTTGCTCTCTGAGATGTGTATTCATAGGGGTCAGGATTCTTATGCTTCATCATTTGGTGGCCATATCCCAATATTTAGATGTCCCCATATATCCCCGTATCAGTGGTGGTTGAAACCCCATTGCACCACAAGTATATTTACCATTATATATGCCATGATGTATATCCCCAATATATTCCCATCAATATACATAGACATCCATTAACATCCATTACATACTCGTTACAATTGCCATTATGCTCCCATTAATATCCAGAAAAAAGCACACATCCATCAATTTTCATCCATCAGTTCATATCCGTTTGTTAATATCAATGAAGTCACCATTCTTCATCTGGTTGGTGGTTTGAAACATTTTTTTTGTTCCATAATATATGGGACAATCCATCCCATTGACTTTCATATTTTTCAAGATGGTAAATAACCCTCTGGTTATTTACTGTAACATAGCCATGGAAAATGGCACATTTATAGATGGTTTACCTATTTAAAATCGTGATTTTCCATGGCAAACTGTTCAATAACCAGATGGTTAAAACCACCACCCCGTCATCATCAAAGCACCATTTTTGCTGCTGAAGTCCCCCAGCGGCCTAGGCCATCGCTGCATCCAGGGACCACTTCAAGCGCAAGGTAGGAGATCTCGGAGATCGGATCGAGGGTAGAGAAACATGGTGGTTTTCCATGGTATGTACCCTTCGGTAAACTAACATGGCAATGGGAAATCCCGAAAAAAATGGAGGCTTTGATGGGAAAATGGTGGTGAAAAACAATTGCCATGTTTGTGAATTAATCCATTCCATGGACATTTCAATGGAATTTATATAATAGGTTTCATGGGGTATAACTCACCAATAATATGACTCCATTTACCCTCCACTATCTTGGGATTTGGAACATCACTTTCAAGTATTCGTTGGAGATTATATCCTCAATAGTCGGATGATGTTCAATTATAGAATTATTATATAGGACGTTATAGGCATTATAGGACATTTACCTAAAAGGATTTACATTGCCGCTTGACACTGGTGATGTTTCCATCGCTGTATGTTTACCAGAGGCAAATGATATTTTAATTGGGATATAATAGGAATATGTATATTATAGGTACACTAAATGGAATCCATAAACAACATAAGGTATCACCAGTTGGGTGTCTGAAAATGCTGGAATTACGTAATCAACAATAGGGATCTGATATGATTTGATCGGATGTTACTGGATACATTGGGACATTAATGGGGTATGTAGCCAAAACTATGACGTGTGGGTCCGTTTGAACATGAATTTGTTACCTCAAAAAATAGTCATGTAACATGTTTGACCATTTGATAAGGACAATGACAATGAGAAAACCATTGGATTTAGAGGTACCCATTTGTTTCTGAGAAGTACAAAACAACTTACAAGCTCTCATATCACATCGTCCTTATGATATGGTCCATCTATAGTTGAAATCAACATTGTGTACCCTAAAACAGATGCGGATCTAGAGTTTTGACATACGTATATCTGCGTGTCGTACATCATCAAGCATCGCCGCCTTACACACATGTTTTAGTAGTTCTGTTTGTATACTGTTTATATTAATACTATACGAATATATATATATATATTAATACTATACGCATATATGTATGTGCGTAGACATATGCATATGCACCTGCCATATCGTGAAATGATGGTGAAATGTTACTCGGGGGCCTTCTCGATATCTTCACATGATATGTTATCTTGGCAGATCAACAATCTCCAGAGAAAATGACCAAAAAGTGAGGGAACACGGGAACACCATATTTTCGGACACCGCATTAGTCTTGATTAAAACCCAAAGTTCCAAACGTTCAGTTTAACTTAGTTGTGTGTTGGTTAATCACCCCCCCAAACCAAAAAACATATCATATTGCTAGATTTCTGAATCCAAGTGCCATATAGTGCCATTACATTCCCATAAAGTTTCATTCCCAGTCTCCCAAGTTTGAAACGAAACCATATTCATTTTTACCCAATCGCATGTTTATTTGTGTACTACATAATATCATAATATCATATAATATCTATATAGATCACTAGTTGTTAGTTGTCTTGTTTGTACTGATTTTAAACAATCCCACATTCGTTTCGGCTCGTTTCGGCGGGCCATTTTCGACCGAAGGTGGAAGACCTCTGCAGCCGCCTGGGTGGAACGAGTGGAACGAGAGCTGGAACGGTGCGCGTGGCGAGTTGTGATCAGATTGACAGCTTCGGAAGTCGGAAAATTCATCAGCCTCACTGGTAATGATTATTACTGGTGATGATTATTGGTGATGATGACCAGTAATAATCAGATTGACTATTGGTGATGATCACCTACACCACCATAATATAAGCATCACCAGTAATGATATCGCCGATGACATCATCATTGTCATCCAGCACGTTGAGCTGTTCAAGGCTTGTGATACGCCAGGCCCAAACTCAACCAACTACCTCTGCTGGAACACCCCAAGGCGCTGGCAGGGTTGTGGCGTCTCGACTTTTAATGAATTGCAGATGATGTGTAACGTTCTTGGATACTTGATTCACTTGTACACGACCGATTTCCTTTCTCCACAATCACGGAGTGTTTATACACATCTACTTTGTGTTTCCAAAAAATATCCGTCTGACGGTCGTTTCTTTGATTTCTTTGCCAAACTCAAGTTTGTCTTCTGGATTCTGAACAAGTCGCTTGCTTGATACCATGTGTTACCTTAGAACTGTGCCACATTGTGCTTTAAAAATTCGGACGTGGGATGCAAACAAAGAGAAAATACAACAATACATATACAATAATACATATATATATATATGCGGCAAAAATAGTGTTTTCTGATATGTAGTGTATTGTTCTTAAATTGGCGTGGTTTATGTCAGAGAAATTTTGAATACTGGGCAGTTCAAAACAAAACATTGTTGATGTATTGGGTGTGATTTGGTTCATCCATCATCCACATTTCCCCATTTGTTTTAGATGATCCAGATTCAGACATCCAAACTTTCAGTGCTATCAAATATCATATACACTGAATCATTGTGTTTCTTTGATGATTTTTCTAAACAAAATCTATAGCACATTATATCAGCCTTGCAAATCAAGATGGAACCACTCTATTTGTAATACATTTATTTGAGACATACATATATATATATATATATGCATATATGAGATACAACTATACATGTATAATATAATATGTATACGTGTATATATATATATATATGTATACGCCAGATACGATACATATACACATACATACATACATACATACATACACACACATACATACATACATACATGTATACATACATACATACATACATATACATATACACATACACATACACATACACATACACACATACATATACACACATACATATACATACATACATACATACATATACATACATACATACATATACATACATACATACATACATACATACATACATACATACATACATACATACATATACACATACACATACACATACACATACACATACACATACATATACACACATACATATACATACATACATGCATGCATGCATACATACATACATACATATATACATCCATAGATGTGTTTGTCCCAACATATATTTATATACATAAGATACAACAATACATATAAACATATATATATACATACATATCGGATACAACGATACAAATACACATTCACATATATATATATATACATACACTCACATATACATACATACATGCATGCATACATACATACATACCATGCATAAATACATACATACATGCATGCATACATACATACATACGTACATACATACATACATACACATACACATACACGTACACATACACATACACATACATATACACACATACATATATATACATACATACATACATACATGTATACATACATATATACATACCAGATACAACAATACATATGCACATACACATACATATATAATAATATACATATGTAATAATATACATACAATAATATATTATTAATTTTATATGTACATACATAGATGGGTTTGTCGAAACATGGGTGGATACCCCATTTTAGACCATGACATTTTGGGGTGAGCACCATTATTTTCACCACCTTTCTGGTCCATTTTGGGGTCCCTGCCAGGTTTTTTTTCCTTGATTTTCACGGTCAACACATATGAAACCTGCTTTTGTGGGGGTTATACATGGTTACACCATGTCGTACACCATTTCCGGGGCCCAAATCCACACACATATCAGTTTTGGACTCAGCATGCCAACGCCCAAAGCCAGCTCTCCCTCTTGTCCAGGCCCAGATCTTGTCTCGGCGCTGCGACAGGTGCTATTTTTCGAACGCCGTGAATATCCTGGTGACCAAAATAGGGTGGTATTTATGGATGCTCATTCCTGTTAAATATGGTAGTACAGGTTTTGACACATCCCAAGAGTTCACTTGGGTTTTTGGGCGGCCACCTCTGGATAGGTGAATTGTTTTTGGCCGGCTTGATGGACAAATTGGCGTAACTACCAGCTGAAACTTCGCAAACAAAGGATATGTAGGATTTTCCATGGAAATGGGACTTGTGTGGTGTAATCTGGCAATGTGACATGCTCATTTTTTCATATAGAAATTGATGGTTTCATGGAATTTCTATGGTGGACTGCCAGATTGGGTCACCTCATTGGGTCCCTTTTAGTACGCATCGATGGACTCGATCAGCCGCGGCCGGTAAATCATCATGTCTCGAAGTAAAAATTGGGGGCAAAGGTTTCAGCAAACTGTTTTTCAGAGCCAGAGGGTATATTTTGATATACCCTCTGGTAAACTAACATAGCTATAGAAAATCACCATTATTAATGGGAAAATCGACTATAAATGGTCATGTTCAATAGCTACGTTAAATTACCAGAGGGTATGTTGTATTGTTTAAATTTACTTTTGATATGACGCGGCTGAATGTTGTCCGTAGATTTCTACGCAAAGTTGTGTTCAGGTCAAAGAGCTGATGATTTGCTGATGGTCATGGCATCGATAATCATCCTTGGATACAATGGGATGTCACCAACAAAAACTAACATATAAACAACTCAATTTTGGTGAGGCATTGGGATTCAGCATACCAACATCGGGATGTCATGGGGCTATCACTTAGTAGGATTAGTAGGGAGTCGTTTTGTGGTTCTGGATGGGTTTTATGTTCAGTGGGTCTTAACTTCATCACTGCTGATTCTATTTCGTAGATCTCTCCATGTCCCTGACTCAACATAGAAACCTCCTGGGACGCGGGTTTAAGAAATCCTGGGACGGGATCTCTTGTGACATGCTTTAACGTTCATTACCCTGACTATTGAGAGTTACCAACGGCATTGACCACTTGGCTCTGAAGAGGTACAGGAAGATCTGGCGAAATTGGCGTGTCTCCGGCATGTTTTGGACAATGGCTTGCGGCCCCGTGGTGCCACTAAAAGAATGACCATAGGCCATAGGCCAATGGGGCCGTTCTGCCCTGCAATTTTGGGGATCCATGATATTCCTAAATAATTAATCATTATTTCATTATTCTCCTCATGATATTCCCATCATACCCCCATTTCATACCCCCATTTCATCCCCATTCAGGTCACCATGAACTCGGTGGATCCCTGGTTGATAGATCACCATGTTCAGCATCGCCAGCACGGACATGCCAGCTTCAATCCAATGATTGAGGTGTTATCGTTTTTCGATATGTTGGATCGATGTGCTAAACCCTAAACCATTTGGCCCTTGTTCTTTCAATCTTTATCAACTGCCTACAAGTGGCACGCAGCAAATACTACATTGATATCAAATAAGTGTCCAAATGTTTCCACAAATCCCAACACGGTTGAATGCCAGAATTGGTACTGTGGTTAATGAGAAAAGTTGCAGGAAACACCTCTCTATTTTTTACTAGGAAAAATCATGTGTCGTTCTGATTTTCCCTTACAATGTGGCTCCATCTAGACGGCTAAGTTAATGCCAACAACCCCAAGACTTATGGTACAATGTACTTCTAACTATAGTATTCATCTGGTCTATATACCAACTTATAACATCTTATAACTTTGGGGCCCCACATCGTAGACACCTTAAACCATTGATCATCCCTAAGTGCCTTGCCAGCATTCGCCGCCAGTGATTCCTGGACTGAGACGCCAAAGAGAACGCCGGCTTCGGCAAGGTCAACGCAGGCCACACCTGAGTTGGGCGCCCTGGTGCCACGCATGTGAAGGGCTCCTTCCAATGGATACTATACCTATGAGATGATGATGGTGATGGTGATGGTGATGGTGATGATGATGATGATGATGATTGAAATAATCCAAAAGAACCCCCGACTGGCAATGGCTCCAAACATGACCCCAGAACCATGTGAAGTTGTCGAAAAAGTCCCAAGTCTTGAGCATTGCTGGGCCACCAACACTCGACAAATTCCAATGTGGACATTTGATTAACAACCTCCTCCCCTTAAAATATTATTGCTCATCATAAGAAATGTTTACCCCATTGGATCCTCAACAGTCATGTCTAGCTTTCTATGAGTCAACATGATGTGTATCATGTTATGTAAATCCTTCTCCGACTCCGTTTCCTCATCATTTTCCACGCATCGCCAGAACCGAAACGAGGTCAACGCAGAAACTTATTGCAATGCGAGGTCACGCAGCGCAGGACACGGCTGGGATGCTGATGGAAACCACGGGTGAGTTCGACGTTTTTCATGATGGTGTCTACCGACAGAAAATTGGGGGTTGTCATGGTGATACAAGTAGTTTCACCATGTCTAAACATGGCTGGTTGGTGGTTTGGATCCATGGAATTTTATGACTTTCCATTCAGTTGGGAATGTCATAATCCCAACTGACGAACTCATATTTTTCAGACGGGTAGGTATACCACCAACCAGCCAATAAATCTTGGGGAAACCCAGCGGCGTCCTCTAGGACCCCGTCCGGCAAGAGCAACACTTGGTGCGGAAACCGAGAAGAACTTCATCACAGGGACAGGGGTGAAATCTCAGCATTGGATGATGGAACAAAAATGCTGGAATTCTCTATATTTCACGGGTTTTCCCAATTCCAATACTACTGGTTTAAACATCAACTATACTTCCCAATTCCAAACCACTGTGGATGATATCAATTGATATCATAGTTTTACTTCAGACATCGCTTTCTTTAATCCTCAAGTTGGTTGGTTCCTGAATTTCGAGAACGGCTTGGTGGTGGTCTCAAACTTTTTTTTGAAGAATGCTCTATCCCTAAAAAATGGATAATGATCCCATGTGACCTTTATATATATATATATATATACGGTAACGACATTTAAATATGTGGAGGGCAGGCCAGACCGCGAGGCCACGGAGGTAATATGAAATACAAGTTCGTATATTTACTGTAAATGTAGTTACGGTATGTTTAAATGAATTGGATTCCGTATGTTTAAATGGCTGGACGGGCCAAGGAAAACCTTCCCGGAGGTAGTCTAAAATACCTGTTCGTATATTAACAAATCCGTATATTTAAATGTAGTTACCGTATAATTATATATACTGTATATATATATATCTTTTCAAGGTTGAAACCACCGGTCACGGAATGGTGGACAAAAAGAAAAACAACAGTTGGCTCGAACAAGTTTTGTGTGGAGTGCTAAAGACCAATGAATTTCAGCAAGTTGAAGCAACAAAAACATTATATGATTAAAACACAACCATCTTACCGTTGAAAGCGTTATTGTCATTGTTGATTGTCAATTTCTATTGTTTATCAATCAGTATCCCATGTGAACTATCCCATATCACTATTCCCATATTATATCCCCATAAGACTTCCCATATATATATAGTATCCCATATTACCAGGCTATTCCATGCTATTCCCATATATTATTGACATAGTATATGATATCCCAATATGTGATAATAACTATATAATATTTTATAAAATGCAAGTCAGTGTAATATCATAAATGATACACTATTCTACAGTTACATTACATTACAATTGCATTACAATTACATTACAATTACATTACAATTATATACACTACAATTACATTTCAATTACATTACATTACAGTACATTACATTACATACATACCTACCTACCTACATACATACATGCATGCATACATACCTACATATGTATAAATGTGTATATATATACATGTATATGTATTTATTTATTTATCCCAATATCCACCAGTTTTTTGCGAAACCTTTCCGTTTCCAGCTCTCGCTGAGGCCTGGCTATGTAGCCAGCGCCATGAGCTGCTGGAGAGTGGACTTTATGGGAGCCCCGCGGCAGCATTGGAAGATGGATTGCATTTTTCAAGAAACCCATGGATCTTGGATATCCTTTGAGTTATCCCAGTGGATTTCTAGATTTTCCCGATTTCTAGAATCATTGGAGTGGTTTTCTTTTGGGATATCTATAGGAAACCATTGTTTTTCCCATAACATATGAGGGCTTCCTATGAATTCTCACTTATCCAATGATAGAATGTATAGAATGGCACCCATCTGAAGACCAAACAGGGGTTGTTGAGCCCCTGTTTCAATTTTGTAATTTGAAGTCCTATGAAACTTGAGAAAACCTGGGGGCTTGTTTAGGGTGAACACCCCAACACATGGCTTGAGGATTCCCACTTGTTTGAACCCCCAAAGTAGATGGATTATAGCAACACACCTAATCAACAAAGCAGCACGATATAGCAGAAAAAAAACCTTTCCCGTTAAGGACATAGGATCCTGGCTAGGGCCGCCAGGTTTATATATATATATATACATGATTATGTATATATATATAAAAATAATTATAAACCTACCTATATATCTATATAGATATGTGTCCATTGACTAGTGTACTTAGTCTATTTGTGTATGTATGTATGTATGTATGTAATGTAATGTAATGCAATGCAATGTAATGTAATGTCATATCATGTAATGTAATGTAATGAAATGTAATGCAATGTATGTATATATATATACATGGGGTTTTCAAAAGTTGGTGTACCCCAAAACCATGGGTTTTTGATACTAAAATGGTCTAATGACTTGGATGATTGGGGGCACCCCTATTTTCGGAAACCTCCATCTGCATCCAAGGCGGAGATCCTGTTCTGCAGGCACTAGAGCTGAAGATTGCTCAGGACAGGATGGGAATGGAGATGGACACATAGATTCTGTCTGGATTGGCTTTCTTGGGGAAATCCACAGGAAACCATGGATTTTCCCAAGAAATTTGTCCCTTAAACCAATCCATTGACAGCTTGGATCAGGATGATTGTCAATGGGTATCTGCTGTGATATGTGACATTTTTATGTGTCCATCTGTATTTTTCACAAGATGATTAACCTTTATTAACCTTTGGCTTTCTCTGAACATGTCAAACAAAAAAACGGGAGGTTCATCATACTTCATACTTCAGTGAAACAGTAGGAATGGTTTCCATCTATATTAAACAGTAAGATTAACCTAAAGAAAACCAGTGGTTCATCATACTTCAATTCCCATGTGGTCGAGTTGCCATGACGTGTTTTTCCGACTCTGTCTGAAGAGTCGCACGCACAATCTCTGGCCCCCAAGGGGTCGTAAGACTTTTAAGCGTAGCCATATGTAACGAACTTACCTATGGAAAATCACCATTTTTTATGGGTAAACCAACTATAAATTGCGATGTTCAATAGCTATGTGAAATTACCAGAGGATATATCTGGATACTGCTGGATACTATATGGCAACCAATGAAAATGATGGAAATGGCTCCAGATGAATCTTTTACAGTGCATTGTTTTGTAAGCATTAGCATTCCCACGGACTTACGCGTTCATGGTATGTCCACTTTCCATCACTTTTCCTGGTGTTTCGAGTAGGGCATCCTCTGTTGATGTAATCCACCAATGGAAACTATTCACCCATTTGGTTTTCCTGGTGAAAAATCAGACTTACCACTGCCAAGTGTTTTTCAATCAGATTTGAAACCGTCCGTTTGTTGGTGAAAACCCTTCTATCGTTGGAGTCATTGCCAAGAATCAGATCACCCCGATCTTATTGTAGATTTCAACAGTTTGCGCTTCATTTTTGTCATGTTTGTCCCAGTTTTTTTTTTCCGGGCAACAAATCTGCGGGAAACTCCCCATTTTGATGGGACAAAGAGATGGTTTCCTTTGGATTTTTCGAGCGCCCCCAAGTTACATGGAGCCTCAGCATCTACCTCCAGATGGATGTTCAATGGATTGGTTGGAAAATCTACAGAAACCATATCTATCCATATCTATCCATATCTATCCATAGCTCACATGGGGAAAATCCCATGAAATTCCAGGTTTCCCTGTGGATTTAATCCATTGAGATGTGGGTGCAGTTCAGGCTGAGGCTCAGCTGAGGGCCGTGAAAGGTGCTGAGCGGAGGTAAACATCTCCTGCGGTATCCATGTAGCTAATATATTGCCTAACATTTTAGCATACATTATACATATATCAATACATATATCTATATATATATATATATATCATATTTACATATATTTTTTTCACATATCATATTTAATACATATGTATAAATAAATAAATAAATATATATATATAATATTGTATGATATAACCTTGATATGATAGATCGTATACCATTTGCTGAAACCAGAGATCGTGGTGTTTCAGTTGTAGAAGGGTTGCACAGCGCTGTGGGGATTGCTGTTGGGGGCCACCCCTGTGGTGAGATGCTTCGGGGTGAGAAAAGAGAGGCGTGCACCAACTGGCTGTGAATTATGTATTTAATATATTAATTAGTCACCTAGGTTCAGGTCAATTTGATGTAAACATGTAGTATATAATTTGGATACTCCTTGCTACGATTTGGTTGTACGAACAATGACCAATTGATTTTTTTTAGGGGTTCCCTCATTTTAAGAACCCCCACACAGTGATTCCACACAGTCCTGATGTCCTTGGCCTTCGCCGAAGGCCCATTTCCCCAAAGATTCGTCGACCGGTTTTTCGGCATCGCTCAATTATGGAAATTTTCCGGAGCTGGATGATTTTGGGAATGACCTGAGGTGAAGTTTTGCATGAATTATATATATATGGTCACACTCATGGGAGGGGATGTGAGCATACATAATTATATATATATAGCTCACACCATATATATACATATATACATATATATATTATGCTGTATATATTTATCAGATGTGGGATCCACAAGAATAAATTATAACCAGGTGTTAATCACCACTCGGAGGCGTTTGGAATAAGCTAACATAAGGGTACACCGAAGAATAAACCACGATTTGGGGATGGTTTATTCTTGTGGATCCCACATGATGCCAGATGTGTTAATGCAATTATTATCTTGCCCACAGGGGTCAGACGTTGCATATGTTCTCCTGGAGTCAAGCATGACGGGCTGAGCAACTGCTAGGATTAACTGAGATGTGTGGTCGTGATCAAGTTTCATGACTTCATTTTCCCAAGGGCATGGTCATTCCCCCCATGTTCATTGGGGTTTCTATAGGCTCTGACATTATTCTTTGGAATCCCTTCACGATGGTGGGATGACAACCGTGTAACTTGACCATACCATGTTGAAAGTTTGTTTACTCTAATGTGGGCCCCGAGATAGGTTTCTGTTGATTCATAGCTAATATACTGGAGAGCTTGGATTTCTGTGGCTCCCCGTTTGAATATTAAATACCCCACCTAAAGAACCCGAATTTAGCTTGGACATTTCATTCTTGAGCCCCACAATATTAGGGGGTGGGATTTGTTGTCCAAACTCCTTTGTCAAATGATGTAGCGACCGACCCTAGCCCCATAAGTTCTGGTTTCGGTTGGGGAATTTGCGGTATAATCACCAAACCTGAATCTGGTTTGGGACCTATTTTGATTCTCCCCAGACTGGTGGTTTATATAGAAACAGTCTGATTACATCCAATTATTGCACTACCATAGCTGATATTTTCATGGGGTTTTGTATTTTTTTAGTAAAGCTACAGTTTTTTTCTAGTGATAATCGTCTTACAGTCTTACAGGAAGGGCCCCATAGTCATTGAGTCATGTGTGTTGGCTTGTGTTGCCCCATCTACTGTAAGTCTGGATAAGATTGGATAAGTATAAACCAACTGACCTAGTATGAATCAATCATAAATTCCAACGGTTGTGTATAAAGCAACTGACCTAGTATGAATCAATCATAAATTCCACCGGTTGTTGGTTGAATTCCAATGTTTTATCATTTTTTTAGTGGTTAGCTGCTCGTCTGGCAATCAAACGTGGCAATGAACCATCAGCTAGAAACCTCGATCTATGAAGGGATTTCCCCTAAAATCATTTTTCGATGGCTAAGACCACCATGTACCGTTTTAAAGGTCTCAGCCTGTCACCCACCTTTAACCCACCTTTTTGTTGGTAAAATCATCATTTTCCACCAGTTTTTGTTCGCGTCCCAGGCAGAGTCGCCGGTGCTCCCCACCATGCCGCCGCTGCGGGGGGTGATTGTCATCCGGCGATGAGGCCGGGTGGGTGAACCCCCATGAGACATGGGAAATGATGGGATGTAATTCATATATATATATATATAAACCTGCATAAAAAAAGTGGGGTAATCCAAATGTTGTACTTTTTTTTGTTTTTTCATGATATGTATATATATATATATATATAGAATGGGCTAGCGCCCGGGTGCCGCCGACCCCCCCTATTTGGGGGTCCTGCAGAGAGAGGGAGAGAGATAGATAGATGGATGGATGGATGGATGGATGGATAGATAGGTAGAGAGATAGAGAGAGAGAGAGAGAGAGATAGACAGATAGATAGATAGACAGTTGGATAGACAGATAAGTAGATGGAGAGATAGATGGATAGATAGCTGGATGGATAGATAGATGGATAGATAGATAGAGAGGGAGAGATAGATAGAGGGGGAGAGAAAGATAGAGAGGGAGAGATAGATAGATAGAGAGGGAGAGATAGATACTCCGACGGCATCCGACGGCATCAGCGGTTCAGTGGGTCAGTGGCGCGTCGCTTCCGGCGGGCCGTGCTGAGGTCGATGGTGGTACATGGTGGGACAGACATGGACATATATGTTTTGATATGCCCCAACATGCCGCAATTCAATCACAAGGTGCAATGTGTATGCAATGAGTATGACGCTACAAATTTGAAGTCAGACCTCAGTTCCTATTTTTAAGCATATTTGGCCTCCTATCATTGTATGATTGGTGGTAGAGTATCATTGATTTTGAAACTCAGGGATAATCAAGGGTACTGATCTCCGGAAGCTGCTGAGCTTGCCGCGCCAGGGCCACGAGTTGTGGCGCCTCATCATCGCCTTTTGCGGGCTGGCAAACGGCAGGCTTGAACCACCATAAAAGGACAATGCCGGGGCTGGCAAACGGCATGGGAGCTGCAGGGAAGCATTTGGGGGGTTTTGCGGGCTGGCAAACGGCAGGCTTGAACCACCATAAAAGGACAATGCCGGGGCTGGCAAACGGCAGCCTTGAACGCCTATAAGAAGCCATTGCTGCGGCCGGAAGGTGCCCTTGAGCGATTGCTGTGGCCTTGTGGTGGCTTTTGCGTGCGGGAGTGGCGCGTGTTGGGCTTGTTGGGGTACTTTGTCCCTGCGGAGCTATGCGAACTTTTGGAGCGTTTGGAGGGTTTTGGAGCGTTTGGAGTGTTTTGGAGGGTTTGAGGCCTGGCAAACGGCAGCCTTGAACGCCTATAAGAAGCCATTGCTGCGGCCGGAAGGTGCCCTTGAGCCATTGCTGTGGCCTTGTGGTGGCTTTTGCGTGCGGGAGTGGCGCGTGTTGGGCTTGTTGGGGTACCTTGTCCCGGCGGAACTATGCGAACTTTTGGAGCGTTTGGAGGGTTTTGGAGGGTTTGAGGCCTAGCAAACGGCAGCCTTGAACGCCTATAAGAAGCCATTGCTGCGGCCGGAAAGTGCCCTTGAGCCATTGCTGTGGCCTTGTGGTGGCTTTTGCGTGCGGGAGTGGCGCGTGTTGGGCTTGTTGGGGTACCTTGTCCCTGCGGAGCTATGCGAACTTTTGGAGGGTTTGGAGGGTTTTGGAGGGTTTGAGGCCTGGCAAACGGCAGCCTTGAACGCCTATAAGAAGCCATTGCTGCGGCCGGAAGGTGCCTGAGCCATTGCTGTGGCATTGTGGTGGCTTTTGAACGTGAGGGAGATGCGGCGTGTTGGGCTGTTGGGGTTTACCTGGTCCTGCGGGATATGCGAAATGTTGGAGCGGT